AACCCAAACGGGTCACGACGTTCGCGGAGGGAGACCACCCCTCCACCGCACTCTGCTGTGCCTGCAGCGCCTCGAAGGACAGAACCAATGAGTAAAAACTGGAGTAGGGCATGGGTGTGTTACTCACGCCCAAGGAGGCGGCGATGGAGTTGTAGGCGGAGCCAAGGCCGGTGAGGATGTGATCGATAAGCTCATCATCACGGATCGAAGAGCCGGCGGCGGCCATAGTGTCGGACAGGGCCTTCATCTTGTGCATGTATTCCGCGGCGGACATATCGTCCTTCCTCAGCGACTGAAGTTGCCGCCGAATGTGGCGGACATTGGCGCAGCTCTGGGCGTCGAACATGGCGGCGACGGCTGTCCACACTGCATGCACTGACTCGCAGCCAATGAGTTAGCATGCAATATCCTCATCCATGGAGGTGAGAAGAAGCCCCTTGACGCGTTGATCTTGAACCCATTATTGGTGGTACTCCGGGTTGGCGATGGTAGTGGCAGTGTCGCCGGTGCCGACAACGAGTGTTTTGACCGGTGCCGCCTTGATGCCATCGAGGTGCCCGTGGAGGTTGGCACCAGCAAGAACGGTGCTGGTGATGCCCACCCAAAGCATGAAGTTGTGGCGACCGAGACGGGCGGAGATCATCGAGACGGCGAGCACGGCGGGGATCGTGACGACGGGGGAATAGATGAGGGCGTCGGCAGTTTGGCCGACGGACATAGCGGAGGATGATATTGCAGCGGCGGCACGGATGGAGCAGCGCGTGGCGGCAGCAGAGCAAGACGCGGCGGCGGCGCGGAAGATGGCACGCGCAGCAGCAGCGATCGGAAGCGGCGACAGCGTACGGGCAAAACTAGCTAGCTAGCTAGCAAGCAGCTGGATGGATTCCTGCGTATGCGCGTACGTGAAGTAGCAAGACGTAGCGGCGACGCGGATGAGAGGATCGGGCGGCGGCGCGAGGGACTTGCGGCGGCGGCCCAACCTGGCTGATACCAAGTTGAAACACAGGGTTTAGGGTCTTGCGTAGGTGATTGACATCCAGCCTCACGTTTCAATATATAGATGATCACACAATTACAATTATATACGTATAAAAATTCATGTATAAAGGCAATATATTAGACCCTACTTTACATCCTCGTAGAACCACTCGCAAACATGGCATCCACTAACCGATGGCAGGGGCTCATGTTGCGTGTGCTCTTTGCATCACACTCTTGTCATCATTATCCTCTTCGTGGCGAGGATGCCTACAGGGCTTGAGAGACAACGATCCTCCTGGATTATGAAGCAGGTGCAGTATTGCGTGGAGAATTTGCTTATTTGCCATCAACAAACTTGCAACTTGCAGAATTGCCATCGAACAAACACCCTTTGCTCATATGCCACCATCAAACTCAACAAATGTCATATCTGCCATAACTATGAACTAACCGGAGAGCATGTGAAATCTATGAGTAAAATGATAGTCATGCCCTCATGACATACAAGAAAATGTCTGTAGAGAAAAACCAACCTCTTTCTCCTTTGTGACAACATGAAACTTATTTATGGAAAATTCGGGCAGCATTTCCATTGTAATTTCAGCATGACAAGTCAGAGAAAATTTAACATGACAACTCAATCATATATCTGACATGACATGCACATTCATACATAAAGAAGTTTTAGCATATACCACAGAAGTTCATATAATCAAGTTCCATACATGTCCCTACATAAAACCAAGTTACATTTTTTTTTAGAAATGGAGGCATGCCCCGGCCTCTGCATCATGATGATGCATACAACCATCTTATTAAAAATCCAGAAAGCATCGTCATAATAGTCTTACAGCTCGCAAACGGAGCAGAACAAAATGAAAAAGGAAAATTACAAGCTGACAAAGGCAACCGATACGGTAATAAGAAGGATAAGCTCCCTAGACTCCTATCCTGTTATGCGAGCGCCATCCGAACCGGTTGAATATAGCCCGAGCTACCATCTCCCATTGGTTACACCCAGTAACCAAAGACTCCCTGGAGTCCATAAGTGTGAGTAAGGACCACGTACGGATCCAGGCAGTAGCTCTGAAGATGACCTGCAAGAAAGTTAAAGTGTGTTGTCTGTTAAAAAATATATCATTTCGACAGTTCCATATAGCCCATAATAGTGCATATATTCCAATCCGAATACGGACCGCAGTAATATGTTCAACCCCAGCTAACCACGTCCCAAACAATGACGCAATATCAACTGGA